AGTAATTTACTTCTAGATCTAATCAATACAAATTATCTATAATACAATTTAATTAATAATTATAAGTAAATTTAGTCAAACATGCATTAAATAGAATATCTAATTTGACAATAAAATATTCACATTTCGTGAATGTGATGAAAATACTAATTAATAATCATAGCATCTTTAATACAATTTGAATAATTGAACATTGGACTTGGGTTGAGATTCAAACTAGAGCTGGACTAATGCTAATATTTGGATCAAAATTTACAATTTTTTGTCAAAAAATTTATATGGGCTGGGGGCAGTTGCTGGGCTGTGGGCAGTTGCTGGGCTACAGCCCAGCAATGCCCCCCACTACCTCCGCCAGTGTCTGCAAGATGGAGAGGTAGAAATAAACTATCTAAAGTTTGTCAATTGTTGTGTAATATGGTCTTAGACCTTATTTTAGTTGTTTAAATAAAGTAGCGTCTATGTCTCTATCCCCGGATTCACTGATTCAAGGGTTCTAGATGGGAGAAGAGTTTGAACGGGGTGAGTGAATTTAGGGTTCCACTGGTTCCAAAGACTAAAAGTCGGAGTAGTTGTTCAAATAGTTCTAAATATAGATAGGAGAATCCTGAATGAATAATCATCCACAATTAAGTTCAACTTGCAAAAACAAATTAAAATTATGACAAACGCAACGTACATGAAAAAGCTTTGCATCAGAATCTAGATAGAGTTGGTTAATCAATTTTTAATAACATTAGTGTTAAGTGTTAACATGAGCATTATCAAAAAAGTAACATCATGGACTCTATCTTGGCAACAAAATTCTGTTAGTACGCTTGTTTACCTCGAAAGATGAAAATTATTTTTTAAAGCAAACATTAATTATTCCATCCAAAGTTCGACAGAGTTTCCCTGTTTTGGGGATTTGTGTGTTTAGCAGCCAATTTCTTATAAAAAGGGCGTAAAATAGAGATTACGATGTGATTTTGGCCGGAATATGCTTCTCAACCCGAGGTAACCCCGAATTTGCCTTTGATTTGAAGCTCTTTGGAAGTTTGGATATAAGATTTTCAATCCTTTACATTACGCAATAGCCAAACAGATGTTTTTAGGGATATTTTAGTTATTTTTATGAGTTGATATTCCCTATTATTTTATGAGAATTATAATTAAATCTCATTTCCAAGGCTTTGTTGAGGTTTGTGATTTGTGACACTTTCAATCGTGTTTCTAACTAAGTGTTAAGATTCTGCATATTTTGTTGCTTATAGGTGCTTTGGTTGTTAAGGCATTTTTTGCTCAACTATGCCTCGATGGACAATGCGTGAATGTTCAAAGATACGCAGGCATGCAAGTCGACCTTTGTAATTGACGTGGAGTCCAAGGTGGACAATAATTATTTCAGTACGTAACAATGCCATTTAAACATTGAAAATGTTCTATTAACAGTGTTAAAATGCAATGATCATTTATGCACGATCTAAAACATATCAATTTACTAGGCTGTGACAAAAATATATCATTTATGGGTTTTCGGATCACATATCAAAAGTAAATCAAATGGCGATGCTATTATTTCTCAAGTCATCAATAATTTGTGTTTTCTAATTATAACGTATAGATTTGAAGCATCATTACGGAACGTACCTCTCTTAATTGGTTTTTACTGAATTGAAGACATTATGTATGAATTTCATCAAGTGCACACTTTATACTGTGGATAGCGACAATTTGACACCCGCTACAAGCATTACCATGCCATTTCACGTTGTTTCTGAATTATAAACTCAATTTCCAAGAAGAATAATTCCTGGTGTACAGGAAAACTTTTCACAAGGGTCTTACAGATCCATTTCACGTTGTTTCTTGTAATGCTTATTTCATTTTGTAGTGCCAATTTTCTTTTTTTCAAGTGAAGTCCTTGTAATTACAATATCCTTTCTAATTTTCTCTTCATTCTCAACTGCCATTCTTGTTTCATAAAGTGATTCCAAATTCAGATGTATGCTTAAGAGCCTTTGCCTTCTTTCATCATTTGTTAGAGATCACTTCTTGCAAATTGACATTAAGCTCGATGATTGTCGGTTCGGTGGTGTAGACATTTTTCGACTTTGGAATATCACATGCTTGAGAAAAATCGTAGATGGAGTTATTGGAACTACTCTAAACATTGGTTGACATCCTTATCGCAGCTCATGAATCCAATAATTACATAAAAATTTTTGTAGAAAATTAAGAATTGTTTCGCGCGGGTTGTCACTAACAATTAAAAGAAAGGCTCAAACGATTATGTAAGGAACAAATATCTTGAGACAGTCCCAAAAATGGGTGCTTTATTGATGAAGATTATAATTGGAAAGAAACAGAATGCCTTTAAGGGGCGCAAGCACACGGATACTAAGAAGAGATATTTTAAAGTTAACTAAGAAATGAAATTACATATTCTCTGTTGAGAGTGTTTGATTCGTGATCTTTTCTTCTATGTCTTCCTTTCTTTTTTATACTTCTTTGATAGTTTCTTTGTGAAAAACTGCTTGGAAACTATAACTACCCACTTTTTTCATGATGGCTGACTTGTCATGGAACTGCCGTCTCTAACTGTTGCCATTACTCTTGTCGTTTACCTGCCTGCAACTCAGATTCTTGGATCGTGGGGTGTGATAAGGTTGCTCAATAACCGCTTCAATAACTGTTATACTGGATAACCATAATACCTTATATTCTCTCAAATCCAGGGCGACTCAAAGGTATGGGCGAGAACGGGATCATCACTTTAGGTGATAGTGAGGCACTCCATTCGCTCAGATCCTGAGCGTCTTGCAAGATTGGGCGATGATGGTACTTTGTTCGTGGGCCTCCACTGCATTCCATAATGTTTATCTTGGATTTCCTAATTGGGCTTCATTCCATGGACTATTGAATTTGGGCTACACTTTTTGTATGTCAACAATTACCCCCCAATATGACAGAATTAATATCAATTATTAATTTTTGCCATATTCTTCCTTTGTATTTTTCGGCAATACTTGAAATTCCCGAGAATTTCAATCATTATTTCCATTTGGCTTTAACCTGAGAAGTGTAATGTTACAACCCCTATAAACCCAAAAGACACGCCACTTCGTCGCGCCGTTACCTTCACGTCTTTACATCGTGCATTTCTATAAAGGTCACTGTTCATTGTCTTGCTTCCTCACTACGCTTCTCAAGAATCCTTCACAACGTCTGTACTTTGCGTCAAATGGCGATTTCACAAACTCCTTTAGATGATTCCTTCAGTTTTGAGGACTTTCAAAACCTTTTTACTAGGCCGTATATAAATTCAAACTTTCTTTCACAAGCCAACCCTGACCTTCATGAGTTCTATCTAAGTCCATCATTCAATGATGTCGAATCGGTCGGACGGGTGGTGGTGGGTCAACTATTCCCTTGCACTGAAGACCCTCCCTTTTTTGAACTCTTTGCCATTGAAGCCAATCCATGAGAAATGTATTCGTGCTTGGCCACTGATCCTAGTTTTCGTAGATGGCATGCACGTATGGTGAATCACGGTCCCACCAAAGCAATTTTTGATCTTGCTAAGATTTTGGATCTATTAAAAATTACCCTTTATTCCCCAACTTATGACCTAGTGCTTTTTCCAATCGCCCTTAGTTTTTGGTTTTCTGAGTACAACACTTTTGTTTTTCCTCTTGGTCCAATGTCTATTACTCTAAGGGATGTTGGAGCTCTAATTAATTTTCTGCCTTTGGATGATTTCATTTTCCTTGGCATTTTGATTGCCGGCGTTGCCCCAAAGTATGACAAGAAGCTTACTGAATCTTACTTGGGCATACAAGGCCTCTATACTGTCTCAAACGCTGAGCCTTCTCATGTTGAGAGAGTGGCTTTTCTTGAGGTCTAGCTTTGTAAATACGTTCTTTGTGTCCCCAGCCTGAAACCCTCTATAAGTTATCTGCCTCTATCGTATGAATTGGCGCGTGGCAGGTCTTTGAATTTGTGTTCATTCTTTTTAGCCGTCTTTTATAGAGGCATGACTTCTCTCCAATTCCAATTAAAGAATGGTGCGTCTCCTACTGGCAGTGGGCCTCTTTGGCTTGCTCAATTGTGGTTGAGAGCCTATTTTCCACAACTTGGGGATTCACCATCTCCTGCTTGAACAGTTAGCTACTATATGCTATTCATCTATTAATTGAGCCCAGTGAATATGTCCAGTAGGGACGTTTTTACATTCTTTTATAATTTGAAATCAACGCCTTCCTTTTTCCCTTTTTCTCCTCACCAAGTCCCTTATTATGTACGGCCTCCTTTTACTCTAGTTGAAGCGAGCACTTTTTTGCCCATTTGGGTTCAATTTTTGGTTGGGAGAAAACTATTCCATGACATTGTCACAGGAAACAAATGCCAAGGCAGGAGTTGAGATATATGCTCCCCAATTTTTTGCTCGCCAACTTGGTTTTGGCCAAATGTGGCCTGCTCCTCCTTGTTATTTTAGAAACTTAACAGAGCGTTTCTATACTATCAATAAAACCAAGGCACAAGCCATTGATGCCCGCAATAACCTTTTGGCCAAAGGTTTCTCTTTAGCTCATTTCAATCCTACTGCTGTCATGCACTCCATTTTTGACCAACTCTGGCCATCTGTGAAACGCAGGTTGTTCACAACTGATGCTAACCATGCCTTCCACTTGCTGGATAAACCATATACTTCTTCTACTTTTCCTATTCAAGCCATCCCTGTGTCTATTAGGAATCCCACTTCTTCTCCTCAATTACCACTTACTCGCGCTAAACGTCCTACTCTTCCACCTGCTTCTCCACCTATCCAGGCTACTACAGCCAAAGGTGCCCCCAGCCACAAACGGCTAGCTTCAGCTTCTCCAATTTTGTAGGGTGATGATGATGCTCCTCTTATCCTTAGGAGAGAGGTAATTGAGTTTGTTTATTCATGAAACACCATCCTTTATGTGTTAATACTTTATCTGAATTTTTCAGAAGAGTTCAGCTTCCCCCTTAAAATCTCTAGTCTTAGCAGCTCCTGCTCCATCGCCTCCTACTGAAGTTACTTCATTCAAATCATCTGATGAAGGGACTCTGCTTAAAGATAAATCCTTAGTTTCAAAGTCTTCATCACAGCTAGTTGAAAAGCTGCCATCTTCTCAGGGTGTTGATCCCCCAAGTGTTAAACCATAAGGTAATACATATTTTGATGTTTTTACCTTTTCTTGTGCTATTGGTTTTCGAATTCATTGCTTCTTGAATTCTGTAGAGGTTCTCATGGATCTGTCCATTGTGATAGAGTCTACTCGCCCAGATAAAGGGAAGTCTCCACAGATGGCAGAGTCAGCCGTGCCTGAACTTCCCAAAGTTGCTAATGAGGTAGCCTTTTGCTTCATTTTTATTTTCACTTCGTTTACTGCAGTAAAAATACTAAATGCTTGCATTTTTCCTTACAACATGCCGATGCCATGGTGCGCTCCATCCGGGACTTGTACACTTCTTGGGGACAAGTAAAGACATCTTCTGCTTTCCCAGAGGAAAACATGAATAATCTTAAGCAATCAGTATTTGAGTACGTTTCTTTCATGGACATAGATATTGGCAAGGCTAGTGCTACCAGACAAAAAGATAAATTTGAGCTTTTAAGCGTGAAATTGGCGCAACCACTTAAACTTCCATCGCTCAACGTTTCTTTTGAATTTAAGGAGACGTTGAAGGTTATCCATTCTGAAATCACCTCCTTGTTAGCCAAAAATATCTAATTGAAAGCCAGGAGTTCTTAGTATCTTCATGCTGTATCTGAAAGAGAGTTATTGCTTTAAGAGATTGATAAAGCCGAGGTTGAATTGAACGAAATCTCCTTCGAAGTTATGATTGAAGATTCTTTGATGATAAGTTTGGCTGCAGAGATGAAGGAAATTCAAGCAAAGATGGACGACTGTAGGGCTAGAATGGCTGCCAAAAAGCGCAATATTTCTTAAGGAATTGAACGAACCAAGTCTTTGGCTGAGTATTACACAAAGCTAGAGGTTGATGACGATGTTGCAACCGAATTAACTGCCGCTTCTTCTAGGCCGAGCGAGAATTGGGGAAGGCTTAGGGAACAAATGCGTTTGGTTTAGGGTGAATTGTAATTAAGACATTTGATGCCTTTACTTTCTTTTGTAATTTCGTACTAGCAACTGCTAATAATTTTGAATGTAACGGCAGCCAATATCATTAATGAAGGACTATTTTATTTATTTGCATATTAATTGACGTCTTCTTCAATCGTCAACCCCCAAACATTTAATTACCTTATGCTAAACTTGTGTATATTTCCCTTCATGGAATTTTTACACGGAGCAAAACTTTTGGCATTCCAATTTTCTTTTCTAAGATTTTGGGCCATTCATATTCCGTCTTTTCACCTTCTCACCTTTATAAATACACATGTGTTGCGCATTTGTCATCTTCATCTTCATTCTTTTCTTCCAAAAACCAACTTGCTTTCCATTGTTTGGCATCTCATATAGTTGATCAACCATTTCTCTCTTCGATAGAAATGGATCATTTGATCTATTGTCCATTTTACTGTCTGCCTTGATGTCATCTTTGGTATTGGAGATATATGAAATGTTCTTTGGCCAATAAATGTCTTCTCAGCTTCTCCATTTATATTCCCCAGAGGGAGTTCATGATGGGAGGCGATTTACGAATGCTTTTCAGGCCACTTTGCCTGTTGAGAGTGCTTCTCAGTCTCTTTGCCTGCCATTACAGCAATGCAATTAAGAAGGTGGTCTGAGAGTGTTTTTCAATCTTTTGCTTGCCATTGTAGCAATGCATTTAGGAAGACGATCAAGGCTAGTTCGTCCCTCTTCTTTGTGATTGATAGAAGAATGATGACAACCTGCTTCCAATTGCAGCTTACAGAGCATTTTGTATTTTGTATCTCATGATTTGTAATGAGTATTTGATAATAATAAAAGAATTTATTTGAACGTACTTCATTCTAATTTTATTTAATCATGATCGCTTAGCACTGTTATTTATTTATACCTTTAATTGTTCACTTCTCCATAAGGAAGGAACATATTTTTTTAAATATTTGTCATTAATGAATCTCATGTGTTTGATGCCGTCAAAATCTTCCAAATGATAGGGTCCGTTAGGCAATACGCTGTTCACTTTATATGGCCCTTCCCAATTGGGTGACCACTTGCCATACTTTGGATCTTTGCTATCCAAAGGGAGTATTATTTTCCAAACCAATTCGCCCAGGCTAAAAGATTTGGCTATAACTTTTTTGTTATAAAATTTAGCCATCATTTGTTTTTGAATTTGTAATCTATCTAGGACGTTCAACTTTAATTCGTCCAACTCCAATAGGTTTTTGGTTAATGACTAGGCATACTCACCATCACTTAAATTATGTTGCAATCACTCTCTGATTGACTGCACATTGATTTCCTTAGGCAAAACAACCTCATGTCCGTAAGTAAGTTGAAAAGGAGTAACTTTGGTACTTGAATGAGTCGACGTCCTATAAGCCCATAAGGTTTTGTTTAAACATTCGTGCCAATTTATAGCATTTTCATTTATCATTTTCCTTATAATATTTTTTAGAATCTTATTAGAAGTTTCTGCCTGTCCGTTAGATTGAGCGTAATACGGCGTCGAGTTTACTAACTAAACTTCAAACTCGCTCAAAAACTCCTTTACTTGGTCTCCATTCGAGGAAGTTCCGTGATCCACCATCAAAGTTTATGGAATCCCAAATCTATAAATAATATGATCACAGATAAAATCTATGACACTCTTCTGAAAAATCTCCTTTAAAGGTATCACTTCTACTCACTCAGTGAAGAAATATGTTGCAACTATTTCAAATGTATGTTACTTGGATGATGGGGGATAAATCTTCCCTATCAGGTCCAACCTTTAAACGGCCAGGGTTTAATAATAGGTGCCATTTCTCTTGCTGGCGCTCTTTGTATCGGACCATGCTTTTGGCATGCTAAACAACTCTTTACATATTGAACACATGATTCTCCTATTTTAGGCCAAAAATATCCATTCCTAATCTTGTCTGCAATGAACTTCGATCCTTCTCGCCTTCCTTTGTACTACGGGTAATATTACTCCATATTCACAAGTAGATTCCCAATTTAAAGCTTTTGAATAACCAGAGGCCATTTGGGCCAACTTGTTTACTATGTCATTATACATCCTATTAACACATTGAAGCTCTACATGATCAAATTCTTCCAACAATTCTTGGGCAATTTCGTATTGACTTACAATGGAATCACTTTGGTACTTAAAATCACTAATCAATTGGTGAATTACCAATTGAGAATCTCCCATAATAATCACATTCTTTATTTCCATATCTATCATTAACTCTAAGCCCACGATTAATGCTTCGTATTTGGCTTGATTATTGGTACACATCCTATCCAACGTGAACGTGAATTTGTAACAAATCCCTAAAAGATTTATCAACGCTATTTCTTCCCCTGAACCTCTAGAGGTTTTTGATCCATCAAAGTATAAAATCCAGGGTTTTAATTAGAATGAATCGATTTCTAATTCAATCTCCCCAGGCATGTCGAGGCATGGATGATTGGCTAGAAAGTTAGCCAAAGCCTGATTTTTTACTGCCTTTTAGGGTATGTATTGTATTTCGAATTCTCACAATGCTAAAGTCCAAAGGCATACCCTTTGGTGTAAAATAGGGTGAGAAAATATATACTTAACCAAATTTACTTTAGAAATTAAATAAACGATTACAAGCGGTAAATAAGCCCTTAGTTTTGTACATGTGAAATATAAAGCACGACATACTTTTTTAATAGTAGAGTAATTACATTCACATTCTGTTAACCATCTATTCAAATAGTAAATCGCCATTTCTTCACCAAATTGGTCTTCTTGCACAACCATTTCAACTATCGATTCTTTTTCAGCCGATACATACACTTTCATGGCCGTAATTGGATTGGTGATACCAATACTGGTGGACTTGATAAATATGTTTTGAGACTTTCAAAAGCCTTTTGATGCTCTTCTTTCCAGACGAATTCGTCCTGATTTTTCAATTTTAAAAAAGGCGAAAAAGCTTTCGTTCGCTTGCACAATTAGAGATAAAGCGTCTTAAGAAGTTTACTTGGCCTATAAACCTTTGTAATTCTTTTTTGTTGGTAGGTGGTTTGGCCTCTAAAATGACCTTCGCTTTATTTTTGTCGAGTTCAATCCTTCTTTATGCACTAGATAACCAAGGAAATTCCCCTGCATTAACACCAAATGCACATTTCAAAGGATTCAACTTTAGTTTATATTGTCTCATTCGCTCAAATGAGCATTTTAGCTGCTCGAAATGGTCTTCTTCTTTAATAGATTTGACCACTATATCATCTACATACACTTCAACAAACTTTCCTATCATATCATGAAAAATCAAGTTCATCGTCCTTTGATAAGTTGCCCCTACATTTTTCAGTCCGAAAGGCATAACTACCCATTCAAAACATTCTAAAGCTCTAGGGCATCTAAAGGCAGTTTTGTTTATCTCTTCGTCAACTATGTAATTTGGTTGTATCCTGAATATCCGCCCATAAAAGAATACATCACATGTCCGACAGTTGAATCTACTAAAGAGTCTACCGTAGGCATTGGATATTCATTTTTGGGAGTTGCTAAATTTAAGTTTCTAAAATCTATGAAAATCCTTAACTTACCATTCTTTTTTAATACTGGCACGATATTAGACAACCACTCGACATATCTAGTCGTTCTTATAAAACCTACTTTTAACAATAGCTCTATTTCTTTCTTAATTTCAGGAAGTATATTAGGGGCAAAACGCCTAGGAGGTTGCTTGTTTGGCTTAAAATTTGGCTCAGTTGGCAATTTATTTTATACCAAATTTCTATCTAAACCAGGCATATGTTCATATTCCCAAACAAAATAATCTTTATATTCTTTTAACAAGCGATTAATTTACTACTAACCTCCTGACTAAGCGGTTGACTGACAAGTGTTGGGCGATCTTCTTCTTCGTCACCAACATTTACCCTACTCGAAGGGTCATGTTATTGAGCATGCTCAGGTTTTGTGATCCTTATTACTTCATCGTCTAAGTTCCTTGTAAGCACTATCTCTTCTAAACAATCCACCTTGTTGACTTCTCGACCAATATTCTGCTCCACCTCGAATACTGCTAATTTATTTTCCAATACTTTTAATGCTGCTTCCTCTTTTGTCTTGTCCTTACATTCTTCATTAAAAGCCATTAACTTGGTTTTGAAGGCCAAAATGTCGGCCATTCACCCTTGTTGTTGACAAATCATCTAAAATTACTTGTTTACCTTTTTGCCAATTATTGGCTTTTCTAGGGCCACTATGTTTGGTCTCATTTGATAGAACATTTCAGTAAGTGCATCCACTGAAAACGACTTTTCACTCTGTGCAACAATTTGAATTTCTTCTCCATCTTGGACTATCCTGACAGGTCCATAATTTCCTTCGTATATAAATCTTTCCACCGAGTTTGCTTCTGTAAAAAAAGGGTCTATGATCTGCTTGCACCACTTCTGCTTCATCCTCGTCATTCCAGAATACCAGGTATTGGTGGAGGGATGAAGGTATGCAATGAATCCCATGGAATCCCTTCCCAGTAGCACGTTGTAACTAGTAGGGCTATCTATTACAAAGAAAACAGTGGTCTTAGTAGTTGTCCCTACCGTTATGTCAAGTAGAATCACCCCTTTAGCTGAAGTTGCTCCTCCGTTAAAGCCTGTGAGAATAACTTCCATTGGGATCATATCGCTCTCTGCCTTTGCAAATTTTATCATCATCCTTGACGGGATGGTATTTATGGCTGCTCCATTATCAATGAGCACTTTCACCACAGGTATGCCATTAACTAAAGCCTTCGCGTACAATGGCCTTCGGTGTTTAGTTAATTTCATGGCTGGTCTCTTGAAGATAACCTTTTCAGCAGCATCTATTTCCACTTCCTATTTGTCTTTTGTTGAATTATTTCCTTGTGATAACTCAATATGCAATATATCGCACTGAGCTTCTGTTTCCTGAATTTCCTTTCTACTATTTTCAAGTTTTTTTTCTTCAATTACCCATCCTGTAGGGAGAGGTAATATTCTTGGAGGTGACCCATATTTCTTAGAGCGAGGTACTCTCCTCTTCCTTTTGGGTGTCCCGTACAACACATAATAATCAAAGGAATGCCCAGATGGTTCTCCCAACAAGTCTACCTCACAAACACCTTCTCGATGTAGTTGTTACAACAACGTATTACGCGACACTCCCATCTTTCTTCTCTCTGCTTCCAAGTCAATTTCTTCTTCGATGTCCATCATGCCATCATCCTCTTCTCCATCGAATGCCCCTCTAGATGTCTGGCCCTCTTCACATTCTAGCACACATGCTCCCTCCTCGTTATCCTCTACTTCTTCTTCTTCTTCTTCTTCTTCTTCTTCTTCTTTCTCTTTGTTTTTGAACTCATTAGCTAATAAATAGTTATTAGCCATGATATGAGATAACGTATCGAATTGAATATTAAGGGGCTACTCTGGATCTTCTTCATCCTTTTTGACTCGCTCAAACTTTGATCTCCCAGAAGAACTTTCTGCCAGTTCTCCCATTGATTCGCCTGTTTCAGTCTCTTTACTATCCTCGAGAACATTTTAATTATCTACCTCAAGCAGTTTAGACGCTTTAGGACGTGGCAATCCTTGTTGTTACCTTATCATTCGTCCATAATTCCGTTGAAAACGCCTTTGT